CCCAGTATTTTGAACTGTAATTATAATTAAAATTGATAACGTATTACCTAAACATAATATCTAATATCATGCCTGAAAACTGCGCCACCATTCGATTATGTGACAAATCCAATCGTGTTTTTTTAATTCACCCAAAAAAAAAAGGTATAATGAAGCGAAAAATTTCACAATCATCAAATCTAAATTAATATATATACACAGTGTGAGCATAAAATATTTGTATTTGACAGTTTATAAACATGCCAATAGCAATTAAATCTATCCTGGCTATTTTAAACTTTGCTTTTAGGAGATGTTAACTAAACCGAAAAAAAGATTTTTTTTACTCTTTGAGAATTATAAATCTTTTCTTTAAAAAAACAGGTTAAATTCTACAAAACTTTTCTCTTCTATGTATAATACAACTATAATTGCTCAAACCAAAAGCCTTACACCATTGTACTATCCTTGAGTATGCTAGATTTTTATGAGGTACTAATAAAATAAAAATTAAATCATTTACCTGCAACTTGTGATTACTTTTTAATTTTTGCATCGCCGCCTACCTTACATAAGTCACATGATGTGATACGCAAATTTTCATATTAGTTTGCTTAGCTCTTAATAAAGCATCTCAATTTAATGGCCATTATATTTGATATGTTATATTATATTTATTTATATTATGAACTAATTCTAACATTTATTTCAAGAAAAAAAAAGCCGTTGTATCATTATTACGAAATTAAGATCACGTATATCACGTGATATATTAATAATTGCACTCTACCCACTTTTTTTAAAAAAAAAAAGAAGTTAAACTTAAAATTTTTAAAAAAAATTAAAGTTTTAAAAAAAAATGTAAACTTTTTTTTCAATGAAACTTTCCCTCTCTCGCTTTTTCCTTTTTCCTCTCTCTTCAGTTCCCCTCTCGTTCTTTCCCTCTCATTCTCTCTTATAATTTCCTATTCCCTCTTTTACGTACTTTTTCTTCACTTAAATATTTACGTGTAAAATTTCTTTTTTAGGTAACTTCTCTGCTTTATTGTTATTAAACGTCTCTCTTTTAGGTTTAGTCTTTGGTTTGGCCTTTGGACACGAGAATTCTCTCTCTCTTTTTTGTTAGTAACAAGTATTTCTTTATTATTTTAATTGTATTAATATAAAAAATAAATTTGAATTACGTAGTTAGTGTAAACATACAGTACACTATCTACTAAGTATGGTTATATTGTATCAAAGTACAATACAGTCAACTCTTCTTATAACGAATTTTGATATAACGAATTTTACAATATAACGGATCTTCAGTATGTTACAGATTTTAACATATGAAAAAAATCTCATTATACCGAATTTTACTAATTAAATGCCGTATACCGTTTAACGAAGTAAATTTTATAAACCGTATATGAAAAATGCCCCTTTTAACAACGAATTTTCTTTTATAACGAATTTTTTTTCAATATAACGAAGATATTTTGTGTAACTTGCGTTTTGCATTATAAGATACAATTATTATACGACAATATACCATAATATACAAAAATTTTCCGGGTTATACCAGATTTTCCCATCATATTAACGAATATTCCTATAACGAAGGCCTGATCAACCCGGACGCCAACTTCGTTATATTAAGAGTTGACTGTACTAATTTATTAAACTATCTAATTATACTATTTACTATAAGCAATCCTAAGTTACATTTGTATTAAATTTTCTCTATATGTATCCCATATATTACTGAATGGTCTAACTAATAATAAAATATTACTAACGATTTGATTTGTTATTATATTTGTTTTCAATTTTTTTTTGTTTTTTTTCGTTTTTTTTTTTTTTATGTTTTTATTGTTTTTATTGTCATTTTTATCATCAATACTTTTCACTCCTTCGTCATCTGACTTTAATATTCTTAATCTTTTTTACAAGTTATTATCTCTCATTGCGATTCCTGCTATTTTCTCTAGTTCGATCATCTCTTCACAATGATTCAACCAAACTTTCTGTCGTATGTTAATAATAACATTTCCCCACATTTATTCTTTCGTCCTTCGATTTGGCAATTTTATAAATATTATTATTAAAGAGACCTCAGACTTCTTGTAATTCTCTGAACTTTTTGCCATTTTGTTCTGTTAACACTTTAGAATATTTTCTCAACAAATTCATTAGATCAACTTCAATTGCGATTAATTGTTTGAATTTATTTACGTCTGTATCCCTATATTTTAACTCCAAATCATATAAGGTATCTTCTAATACCGCTTTTTTTTCAGTAACTTTATTGGCTTCACATGTAAACAGTCTTTTACACATTTGGTTTTCCTATAGGTATCCTCACACCTAATGCAAATGTTCTTCAATATTGCACGATTGATCCTTTCTATAAATATAACATACGTTGGTAACTGTTTTAACAAAATTTTGATTTTGTACGATCGTATTTGATTATCCTTGTTCGTTGGTATAATTTTTCTTTCATTTTTTTACTTTTTTAGGCGGCTGGTTCTGATTTTGAAGTACCAGAATCTAAATAATAAGTTTTTAAAAAATATTTTTGAAACTTTATTGAAAATAATTTTAGTATCCCGGCTCCAATTTCAAAAATCAAGATCCTGTAGTATAGCTGTCACGATATATGAGAAAAGATATTTGGCTCGTAAATAAAAGTAATGAAAAAATTAAATTAATTATATTTATTATTATAAGAAGACTATAAAAAATTTTTGTTTTATTTTTGTTATAGGAATCTGGCTTCTTTCAAAACATCAGATATCCTAGGTAAGTTTTCGAAAATATTTTTGAAAACTTAATTAAGAAAGTTAAAAAAAAAAATTATCATTATTTTTATTTTTATTTTCTTATTCTATTTTTTTTTTCGTTAATATGTGTATTTTTATTTTATAGAAATCCGGTTTAATCTATATACTAGGGTCCTAAATAAATTCTATTTAGAAAAAAAATAAAATTATATATTTTTTTTTTTTGAATCCGGCACCAACTTTCAAAAACATAAAAATTCCGGGTAGAGTTTTGAAAATTTCATTAAAATAAAACAACATTTCTACCCTTTTTTATTTTATAGGAAACCAGTTCTGAATTTCAAAAAAACTGGATTTCCAGGTAAGGTTTCAAAATGATTTGAAAGCTTAAAAAAAGCGTTTATAACTTTTTTTTTATTATTTTACAAGAATCCGGCTCAAATTTTTGAAGAAATTGAATACCTCGTTAAGTTTTCAAAACGAAACTTACTAAAAAAAAAAACGTTTTTAACAGTAAGGAAATTGACTTTGATTTGAATACTAGACCCCAGATAAGTTTTGAAAAATTTTGAAATAGTTTCAAAAAAAAACTCATTTTTAACATTTTAATTTTATATGAATATCGATAAGATTAATTAAGCATTAATTATTAAATGTTGGTAAATCTTCATGAAATTCTTTATTCATTTTAGTCCAAATGCAAGCGATTTATTTGGCTGACTCTTCACGAACGAATTAATGCATAAATCATTTAGTGGTTTCTCTTTATTAATTTAGGTCTATTTTATTTTCGGATAATGTTATTAATTATTAAATTTTACTTCTCTATTTTATGTACTTTGGACTTTGGAGCATGATTGGCTAACTTCATTTACAAGTTTATTTTTTAATAGAATAGCATAAGCTTACGTATATTTACTATACGATTATCATTTATTTTGAGTTTAATATATATTTATTATTAATTTACAATATGGTATATTTAATGCAAACAATAATGAATTTATTGCACATTTGTCACACGGACACTTTCTATTATTTAAATCATTTATACTGTTACTTTATATCATTTATATGACTATTTTAAATTAACAATACGTTGCTACACATTTCTATATTAAATATATATCGCTATGTTGAATTTAACATAAAATAGCCGTATACGCCTACTATGTTAAATGGGATATTATAGTCCCGATTTCGTAGGTTTAAGCAAAGTTTATATTAGTATGTGGCGTAGTATGTAGTGCTTTATTATTTGTTTTTTTACGTCTACACCATTGAGAAGTGTAGCATTTGTATAGCTTCTTGATGATTTTCAATAAAGAGAGAAATTAAAAAAAAAAAAGATTTTAAAATATTGAAACAATAATTTATTTAATGATAAGCTCTTTTTTTTTTCTTTTGTACATAACATGTACTGTACATTGATCTGCATGCATATCATAAATTTAGGTAGTACAATGTTGCTTTATGTACTGTAACATTTCACTTTGGTTACAAATTACTATTTAATATGTAATACAACTACGGAGTTAAAACACCGGTTTCAACCTTTTCTTTTTATTTAAAAATTAATAAATATATTTATAAAAAAAATTTAAAGCCTTATAACATATTTCATTATGTCATATGGTAAAAATGAATTAGTTAATAATGCAATTAATAGATCTTATGCATTAATAGATTACAATATTTATAGTGATATACACAAACAACAAGAATTCCAAGAACAAACAATTCTTGATGATGAATCACTTACAGAAAATGAAAAATCTGAAGCAATACGAATACTAACTAAAAATTATGATTATTGCAAGCTTCTTTTTAATTCAGGAACAAAAAGAATTTGTGAAAATTGTAACCAAGAATGTTTAGCTACTACATATTGTGAAATTTGTGTTCAAAATTATTTAAAAGCAAATTTTTCAAATTGGACATCTGGAAATGATATTATTGATAATTTAATACAAGAATGTCAAATGAAAACACTTGCAACAGATGGAATAGTAGAATGGATCCCATATAGTAGTTTTAAAAATATTGAATATCTAACAAAAGGTGGATTTTCAGAAATTTATACAGCAAACTGGATTGATGGGCATTTTATTGAATGGAATACTGAAAGGCAACAATTAAAAAGAATTGGAAGACAAATAGTAGTACTTAAAAAATTAGAAAATGTTGAAAATGCAAACCAAAGTTGGTTTGAAGAGGTTTGAATTTAAAAATATTTTAAATTTCATTAATAATACTTAAATTTTAATTATATTTTTTATTTATAGGCTAAATCACATTTAAATATAAGCAATAAATGGAATGAGATTGTCCAATGTTATGGATTAACACAAGATCCATCAAATGGAAATTATATGCTTGTAATGAATAAGTTGGGTATAGATTTAAGAAAATATTTACAACAAAATCATAATCAACTTACATGGAAAGAAAGAATTCAAATTATCACTGATATAACTGTTGCACTTTATAGAATTCATGATGAAAATGCAATTCATAGAGATTTGCACTCTGGAAATATATTATCTAATTTTGATGCTGGATTCATTATTAGTGATCTTGGATTTTGTGGACCTGCAGATAAACCATTAAAAAGTATATATGGAAATCTTCCTTATGTAGCGCCTGAGGTTATTAATGGAAAAGAACAGACTTTTAAATCTGATATTTATAGTGTTGCAATTCTTATGTGGGAAGTTTCGTCAGGACAACCACCATTTATTAATTATGAACATGGTTATGATCTTGCAATGAATATTGTTAATGGTATAAGACCAAAAATTGTACCAGGAACTCCTTTTGAATATAAAAATTTAATGAAACAATGTTGGGATGCTGATCCATTAAAAAGACCTGATATTCATACATTATGGGATAAAATGAGTGAAATTAATTTATTTTATCAAAGTCAATTGAATGATCAACTAGAAGAAAATAATAATTTTGAAATGGAAAATTATACTAACAGTAGCAAACTATTTACAAGTAAACTTCATCAATTTGACAATCTTCCTAATCCAAGAAATGCAACAGAAGGTATTTATTGATTTATTAACATTTTATTAATTGTTTAAAAAGCATATTAATATATTTAATTAGTAATGTTTATTTTTTTAATTTGAATAATAATAGAAGAACAAGAAGGTATAAAATTAGACAAATTCTTATATAATTTTAATTTATTAAAAATTAATGATAATATGGTTAATTTTTTTATAGCATTTCATAGTAATAAATCATATGATTTTCATATTCCTAATAATAGTAAGTGCAATTATATTTATGTAAATATGAGGTGTTGTTTATTGATTTATTTTGATTTCTTTTTTAGTTGATGATTTTAATAAATTAAATAGTAAGAAAAATAGTACTTCAAAAAATAAGTACTATATTTAAAGGTAATTAAATATTATATTTATTTTAAAATAGTCAAATGAATGTATAACTTATATTTAAGATTATTTAGATAGCAGAAATAAGTTATCCAATATTGATATTTAAAAGAAGATCAAAAAATGGTAAGTACAATAATTTAAAATATGTTAATTTTATTATAATATTAAATGTAATTCATTATTTAGATGATTACAAAGTTGAATCAATGCGAAAACGAATAAAGAAACTTCATATTAATGATAATGGTATGATAAAATGATTATTTAAGTTCTTAAAATAATAATTCTATAGTATTTTTTTTAATTTATAATTTTAATTTATATCTGATAGATGAAGATGAAGTACATAACAATCCAAACCTTCATTCAGAAGAACAAGATGAATTGGAACTTCCTGAAAGTAAGAATTATTTTTCAAAATATTTAAAATTTGCCTCCTAAATTACTAAATTTAACATAATTTTTTTTTTCTTTTTTTAGATATTTAGATACAGAAGATTTAGTTACATAAATTAGATAGCATTATTACTCCTGATTTTTTTTCTTATCAGAATTATTTAAACACTAAGACTTGATGAGATTTTCTTCAAATTTCTTAGTTTGTAATTTGAATAATTTATTTTTTTATTGTTTATTTGTTTTTCTCATTATATTATTATTTTATTAGTGTACACTGAGTGAATAAATTTTTATAAACTTTTTATAATTTTAATTTTATATGAATGTTGATAAGGTTAATTAAATGTTACTTTATTACTGTTGGTAAAATTCTTTAGTCATTTTAGTCTAAAGGCAAGGCTGGATCTTCATGAACGAATTAATGCATGAATCATTTGGCGTTTTTCTCTTTATTAATTTAAATTTATTTTTTATGTACTTTGGAGCATAATTGGGACTCGGATGAGATTACACTAACTTCATTCACAGTATTTTTCTAATAAAATAGCATGTATAAGTTTACATACATTTGCTATAAAATTATCATTTATTTTAAGTTTAATATATATATATTTATTATTAATTTAACAATATGTTATATTCTGAACCATCTTAGTAATCAACAGATAAACGAATTTGTATCAAATGTAGTGACAATGAGTGATAACATAACAAACACTTATGCGATGGTAGAAGAACAAACAAAACTCACAATGGAATCTATGTCCCTCACAAACGAAATATTAGATTATGCCAATACTCGTATAAATCAGCTGGAAAGTAATTTAAACTTTATTAAATTACTAGCTTGCCATAGGGATTGGATAAAAATGTTTATCGTAAAATCAACAATACAACTCGGAGAGGAACAATTGAAAGATGCGGGTATACTATTGAATTATTCAGGAGAGGCACAGATTTATCAGAACAGGAGCGTAATTCACTTGAAAAATTAAGGGTTTTGTTACATGATCGCGAAATGTCAACAGATGATATTAAATTATTATGCGAATTAAAGAATTATAGTAATACTTTATTCCATAAAAATAATCAAACAATAGAACAGGCAAAAGCGCAACTAAATGATTTGCTACCAGAACGCATGAGGATATACGAATTCCTGTTACAAAAGGCTCTTAAAGCCATTAGTTTTTGGAGAAAATAACTTTAAAATACTTTTCGTTATAGATATTGAAAATTACTAGATTAATGTTAAAGCTTTATGTTAAGAAATTTTAAAATTAATGTACAAATAATTTATATTAAATAAAAGAATTTATTTTTATTGCTTTAATTCTTCAATACTTGTTATTGTACACGTGTTAAAAACAGTGTAACGAGCGAATCAAAGAGGACGTTCAGTTCTTCCTGGTTCAACTAGATTGGGAAGCTCTTTTGAAATGAATGAAAATAAGACGTTATAACTTACTTATGAATTTAGATGATGACCACTGATTGTTATGAAATACCAGTGGAACTTTCACTATGAATTTTTAAAAGTAAGCTGTTCGGAAAATCACGTTGCATTCTATTCACTCCGATCTTTATAATAAATTGGTTTTGTTTGTGGATACATTATATAATTTTTAAGTTCAAAAATCAATTACATGGTGAATTTCTAATTAAATATTATGATGTTTTATTCATTATCTTATATTTGTTAAAACACTTGGTGTACAAATTTGGTGATCATATCCTGAAATGCATTAAACTTTGCCAATCATATCTTGAAATGAAAAAATTTGGTGTAAATTCAGTATTTTTATAGATTAGTTTTCCAATTAATCTAACCATAATCCCAATTTGGACGAAAAAACTAGCGTACCGACGTATTGTACAATTCAAAAGCATGTTATAAAAAAAACATGCCACGTGTTATAAAATTTGTTCGATCAGCACAAGTGACTTTTAGTCACTTGTTATAAAACATGTTGTTTTTCATGTCGATCATACAATGATTGGCTTTTGGATTCCATTTATAGCGTCTTACAGATTATCTGAGGTTTAAAACATATCACGACTTTGATAATATCACCTTTTCAAACACGAAAAAAAATAACAAAAAAAAGTAAAAAAAAAAGTATTTAGTAATATGCAAGAGAATTTTTTAATAGGGAAGGTTTTTTTTGATAGATAATTTTGTTAGAAAAATTTTTTAACGGGGAGATTTTTTTTTTTGATAAAGTATTTCATTAAAGAATTATTTTTTAATAGGAGGGAGCTTTTTTTTAATACTAGGTGAAAATATTTTTTGGTGGAGAATTTCGTTAGAGAATAGGAAAGATTTTTTTTGATAGATTATTTCGTTAGAAATTTTTTAACGAGGGAGGTTTTTTTTTGATATAAAATTTCGGTAAAGAATTTTTTTTCATAAAGAAAATAATTATTGTTTGTTATACTAATAGGAGGGAGGTTTTTTTTGATATAGTAATTCTTTTGAGAATTTTTTTAATAAGTAAGAATCTTTTTTTAATAGGGAAAATGTTTTTTGATGGAGGATTTCTATTAGAAATTTTTCTTTAATAGGGGATATTTTTTTTTTTTGATAAGAATTTCATTGGAAAATTTTTCTTTAATAGAGGAGTTTCTTTTGACAATTTTGTTGGTTGAAAGTTTTTTTTATAAGTGAGTCTTTTTTTGATGGAGAATTCGTTTAAAAGTCCTTTAATAGAAAATTTTATTGAAAATAACTTTTTTAAATAAGAGTATTGAGGATTTTGGCTTGAAATTTTTTTTTTAATAAAGAATTTCGTTAAAAATTTTTTTTTTATAAAATTTATTGGAAAATTTTTCATTAATGTAATTTTTTTTTTTAAACTGTAACGCATCTCTTTATTAGGATATATTTAAAAAGATCCTGTAAACAAGATACTTAGAGTGGTTCATGCAACACGAAACCCCCCTATAACAGAGTAATCGATCCTAATAAAATAAATACAAATAATAAAAAAATACCTACATAAAATTCTAGTCTAAGAAAAGCTAATTTAAAAGAACATCTAGTTGATCTAATTGAGAATTCTACACTCTACTTTAGTATACAACCCAATCATTCCCTCTCACCCTTCTAAAACTAAAATTAAAGAAGTAACAAGAATCTATACCAAACAATTCAGAATTCCATCTATAATTTAACGTTGGAACATTTTATACGTGATAAATCACGTGATATTGACAAGAACAGAACCTCGAATTCTTCTTCCTCACCAAATCCTCGTCATGTCATTACTGCGGATGTGGCTGATAAATTTGCTGCCGAATTATATTGAGTCATACCCTAGGGCCGCTGCTGGGATACTGTAAGTACTATATAGGAAGGAGTTTGAGTAAAAGTAATGTTCTTTTAATACATTTTTTTTATTTTGTTTTTTCAGGTCATTAGATTCTTGGAAAGTGGAAACTTGGACGAACCTGAACTTAGATCTAATTAATATAAGGGAAGTTGGGCTCTTAAATTGAGGGTTTTCATTTGTATCAAAGAAATATATTAATATTTCTTTTTTGTATATTTTTGTAAGAACAGCTTTTTTCTTAAGACTACTTCAAATATCTTATAGATACATTGGTATGCATGGTATTTTTATTTTAAGAAAGATTTTTGGAAGGGAATGGATTTTTCATATTTGTATTTTACTTTATTTGTATTTTATTTAATAAAGTACTAGTAAATAATAGTAATTTAAGCAGTAAATTCAGTGACTAAATCATTATAAATTTGTGACTAAACCATGTAAATTCAGTAACCAAATCAGTGTAAATTCTGTGATAAAATCGTGCAAATGATACGTTTTTGTGATACGGAATTGTGCATTTTTCCGTATTCCCTCATGATATGTTATTTAAAAAACGTATCCAGTTTTTTTTATCTGACGTGCTTATGACTCCGCTGTGGGACTCGATAGGTCCAATCGACCAAGACATTAGAAAATTTTCTCAAACTCTAACGGAAAGTTTTACCTTGGTCAATTTCCTAGGCCCTATAAAAAAATTGGATACGTTTTTTATAAAGTTTTTATACGATTTTTTTTAGGGCTCAGCTTCCAGTCTCGTATGGCTCCCATTTATTTTTTTTAATGATCCCGTGATAGTATGTTCTGCCGTAATGATCAGCCAGATACAATTTATTTTAATTTTGATCCATGTGATATTGCCCACGTACTATAATATTTATAATATTATTATTTCCCATTAAACATTGGGAGAGTGGTGGTCAGTTTCACAATGATGAGATTATGGCGATAAGTCATTAATTGACTAATTGCACACGAAGTGTCACTATCCAATATTAATATATCGAACTTCCAGTCATAAATTGTCAAAACAGATTTATTATTAGTCATATATAACACGCTTGATACTATATAAATATCACAATATTCTATTTCGCATAATTTTTATAATTTTATTTCATAATTTTTTTTCATTCTTTATATTGAAACGGCTTTATCTTTTAAAAGTATTATCTCTTATTGCTAAACAGATGGATAATTTTCGAGAAGTATTAAATTTTGAAGAGAAATGTGTTGTATTGGACAATCAAATCGAATCTCAGAAGTGGATAAGTGAAGATTTTCTGGTGGACATGTCAAACAATATTAATGATCAACAGATAATGAGTGATAACATAACAAATACTTACGAGATGGTAGAAGAACAAACACTCACGAAAGAAACTGTATCCCATATTAATAATGATCAACAGATAAACGAATTTGTATCAAACGTAGGAAAAATGAGAGTTAGCATAACAAAAACTTATGAGATGTTGGAAGAACAAACAAGGCTCACGAAAAAAATTATATCCTTCGTAAATAAAGTAATAGATCAAAATACTCGCCTAAATAAGCTAGAAGAAGATATATTTCAAATATATCAAACAAATCCCCATCCCCTAGCCGACTATATGGGTTGGGTAAGAATATTCATCAATTTATTATCAACGCGATTCGGAAAGAAACAATGGGTTGATGCGGAGCATGCTATTGATTTTCTCGTGAGTGGCATTGGTTTAACGGATTATGAACGTAATTCAATTGAAAAACTGGGGGCTTTTTTACATGATCATATCGAAATGTCAACTGATGATTTTATATTATTACACAAATTAAAGTATCATAATTATGATTTATTCCACAAAAGTTATCAAACGTTAGAACAGACAAAAGCACAACTAAATGGTCCGCTATCAGAAGACATGAAGATATACAAAGTTCCGTTGCTAAAGGCTCTTAAAGCCATTAGTATTTGGCGCAAATAATTTTAAGAATTACTTTGACTTGCTTCTTGCTTGCTTGTACAAATAATTGTATTAAATAGAAGAATTTATTCTTTATTGCTTCAATTTTTCAATACTTGTCTATTGTACACGTGTTAAAAACAGCGTAACAAGCAAATCAAAGAGAACATTACATATTGTTCAGTTCTTCCTGGCTCAAGCTAGATAAGCTTGGATCTTTCTTTTAAAATGAATGAAAATAACGTTATAACTAAGCCATCTTTTACTTATGAATTTAGAAGATGATCACTGACTGTTATGAAATATCATGGAACTTCCACTATGAATTTTTTAAAAATAAGCTGTTCGGAAAATCACGTTACAGCCAGAAGATTTAGGATATAAATTAGATAGCATTATTACTCCTGATTTTTTTTTCTTATCATAAATTATTTAATCACTAAGACTTGATGAGATTTTCTTCAAATTTCTTAGTTTGTAATTTGAGTAATTTACTTTTTTTTATTTTTTATTTGTTTTTCTCATTATAATATTATATTAGTAGCATAAACTGGGCAAATAAATTTTTATAAACTTTTAATTTTATATGAATAAATGTTGATAATGTTAATTAAATGTTAATTGATTTTTTAGTCATTTTAGCCTAAAGGCAAGCGATTGATTTGGCTGACTCTTCACGAACGAATTAATGTATAAATCATTTAGTGGTTTCTCTTTATTAATTTAGGTCTATTTTATTTTCGGATAATGTTATTAAAATTTCCTTCTATTTTGGAGCATGATTGGGACTCGGATAAGATTACAATAACTTCATTTTCAAGTTTCTTTTTTAATAGAATAGCATAAGTTTACGTATATTTACTATACGATTATCATTTATTTTGAGTTTAATATATATTTATTATTAATTTACAATATGGTATGTTTAATGCAAACAATAATGAATTTATTACAAATTTGTCACAAGGATACTTTCTATTATTTAAATCATTTATACGGTTACTTTATATCATTTATATGAATTTACTGTACATTTCTATATTAAATACATATTGTTATGTTTAATTTAATCATATACGCCTACTATGTTAAATGGGCTATTATAGTCCCGATTTCGTTTTCAGCAAAGTTTATATTAGTATGTGGCTTAATATGTAGTGCTTATATATATATATATATATATAATACCTTTTACTTTATTATTCTACCTATTCTATTATCTTTTAATTCAAACAATTCAATATTCTTGATCAAAAACTCGTATTTCTGGCTTTTGAAGGTGGTTATATTCTATTAACTTCTCCAATCATTATTTATTTTTTTACGCCTACATCGTTGAGAAATGTAGCATTTGTATATCTTCTTGATGATTTTCAATAAAGAGAGAAATTAAAAAAAAAATATTTTAAAATATTGATGCAATAATTTATTTAATGATAAGCTCTTTTTTTTCCACTCATAGTGTTGACGGGTCGGGTTGGGGTCGCATGATTACCCGTAACTTTGCTCCGATCCATATAAATCCGGAGTAGCTCTGCTGTGTACAGTACTCTTGTGAGACAAAATAGATGATCGGTCTGTGCAACAGGAATTTCTCACATATAGTACCACTTGGTATTTTTTTTCCGCAAATAAAATTTTTTCACTCTTGTCCTTACGTACGTTGGTTTAGCCAATAAAATTTCAAAAAAAATTCTATATAAACCGAAAATGTCTATCACGTTACCCTGTATCGTCAAAGGAAACACGACTGCAAATGCTTTCGTTGTCGATATGTATAGGGAAAAATTGGTTAGCCACCTCAAGGAGCTATAAAAGCAAAAAGCAAAATGACTTTTGGTGTGGACGCAGACAAGCTCAAGTTATGGAAGGTGGAAATTCCTAGCGATCGTGCCGATCTCTTAAGCAGTATCTCTCACTCAAAAATAACGAGGTGCTCATTACCATAAGAAAAATTTTGAATTACTTCCCTGACCCACCTGCTGAAGAGTATATTAATGTCAAATTGAACCACCCGTGTCGAACGCCACTTCGATCCGTGAACAGGAATTACTTAACCGAATCGCGAGTCACTTAATAAGTCTGTCCGTAGTACGTATTTTTTCCTTACCTGAGGTAAACGAAATTATTAGGTTATGGAATTTCTACTAACTCGGTTGTTGCTTTACAGCATTCGACGTTGTCGTTAACGCTTCAAGTGGACAGTGAATATCGAGCATGCGACCCTCAATGGCCTCAAAGAACACATACGTAGAGTGAAACGATCAGTGCCTTCGTGATATGCTCCACATTTTCATATCAAAGAACAATCTCAAGTTTACCGTGTTCATTGAAACGCTCCCAAAACCATTTTAAGATTGGTCGTTCCCGAAGGTGTGTCAGCTTCATGGATCAGACGATCCCTCATTATCTGTGTTCCCACCTTTCACTTGCGAGTATAAAGAACTGGAAGAGGATTCTTCCAAGGCAATACTTAAACACAGCTGAGCTGAACGCCCGTCTCAAGTCGATTCCGATCAATGGAGACGTAGCAGCGAAATCGCAATATGTGTGCTCCTACCTTGTCGCCGTGGTGAATTTGTATGAAAAGAAGTTTGAGTGAGCTTCGACCAGAAAAAACATCACGGGACCCAATAGACACGGACCAGTCGATTTCGCAATTGATTTACTCCAAACAGCAAAAACAGTTGGCGTGACAGAGGTAAAGGACGAAAATTTTTACAAGAGTATTGCTCAGAATGCCGTACAACTCGAGTCCGCTTTATTAAACCATAAGCGTAAGGTAAACGAGATGGTGTGTTTATGGGTAAGGTATTTAGAATTGTCACAGATGCGGAAAGTGGTACTTTATAGAATGCTCACTCGACGATCAAGACAGACTGAATTCAAACTATCAAAGCCGATAGTTGTCGTGTAGAACAATGAGAACATGGGAGGTATGGTTGAAAGGGTTCTAGGTCATATTGCTTAGTAACAAAAATAAGTGTACAGCGCAAACTATCACAAAATGTTAATGGACAGATAGTATCATTCTGTATATAGCGTGTCTTGAAACTATATATCGAACTTCCAGTCATAGTCGTCAAACAGATTTATTACTAGTCACACATAACACACTTGAAACTGTATAAATATCTCATACTTCACAATATTCTATTTCCATACACCTTTCATATTTTTTCTCATTCTTTGCGTTGAAACAGCTTTATCTTTTAGTTGTATTAGACTATCAGAAGGTTTTGCGAAAATTTTTTTTTCTCTGCGCAGTTTAATAGTAGGAAATGTTAAAACTTTCGCTAATATAGGAAATTAAACACTATAGACATCTCCGTGGAATACTGTGAATTATTAGTAAATTGGGTAAAAAAAATTTCTTTAAAAAAATACAAAGTGAAAAAAAAAAAAGATTGAGGAAAAGTGAAAGACATGTTAAACAAGACCGGATCACCGGAACTACCAGCTACTGTAAGCAGTACGAATTACAAAAACGAAACACGCTATACTAAAACTTGTTATGAAATATCAGGGGAATGAACTTTTTAAAATTAAGCTGTTCTGAAAATCACGTTACATTCTATTCACTCCGATCTTTGTAATTTATTTTTGAACTTAAAAATTATATAGTGTATCACAAAACCAATTTATTATATTGTGAATTTCTAATTAAATATTATGATGTTATTCTTTTTTCATATTATTATGGAATTATGAATAATGATGTACAGACATTATGTTGGAAAACGCCTAGGCGTCATGTCGTATATGTAGGAGATATTCTCTAATGTTTAGACATTTAATATGTTGATCACGTAAAGATCGATTTTTATATACCCGCTTTTAATTACAAATATCATGTGATTATTAAAAGAAAATAATAAAATTGATCCAGAAAATTATTAAATTTATTAGAAATGATTATAAAAAATTAAAAATTCAGCCAGAAAATCAGTAAATTTACTACAAATAAAAACTCACTATATGGTAATTATAGTAATTATGATCTAGACAACATTCCAGTTGATGGCTTTGAAATCATGTCAAATGATGTCTAAACATCAACTTCGATGATACATCAATGATATCCGGACATCAACCATTTATTTGCGATAATCAATAACATATAAAAATGAATCAAAATGATCGTTAATATGAACAGATTGTTACAAATTGATATATTATATATCTTTCACGCCGCATCTTTGGTGATATAACGCTCTCACTAACCAAACACATTTATTTTACATTCAAAAGTAAAGGAGGGTTTAAAATTAATAAATTAATTTATACAATATTCGCTTATCTGTATGTTTTGAATATTTAATTTATTTATCAATTATTTTTTAAATAATTACTTTATAATAAAATATTCTCTATTTCATGTAAAATTTATAAGAATTCTTTTTTTTTTTCTTATTTTTAGGGTTTAATGAATAACAATAGGTATAATGCGTGATAATGTTCATCATTATAATGTTTAGATGAACTTTTTTTTAATACAAAAAAAAAAGAATGGAAAGAAATTAAAAAAAAATCTACAACTAGAAATAAAATAAATAAATGAAAAATTTAATGATTTTTTTTTAAATAAATGTATGAAGTGTTCCAAGATATAAAAGAACGAAAAGTAATAAATTAGTGCGTTATTATGTACTTCTTTCACTACTACTATTACTATTACTATTATTATTTATACTTCCAACATTACTATTTTCACTAGACTGTTCATTTTTTTCTTAATACTTTTCAACATTTTTAAACTAACTGTTTTAGTTAAAATCCATCAACACCACTTCTTGAGAAAATGGTTGAAACATACTTATTGATAAAAATGATGGTGGTATGCCACATCCTGTATTAGTTATCGTTATTAATGTGTGGATTTTATTTGATGTTAATTGTCGTATTTTGTACTCCTGCAATCCTTATATTGATTACTTCAATGATGAAGATCACGAAATTAAGACATCCTTTTTTAAATTAAAAATCTTTTAAAGAGCTATCAACGTATAGTGTTCTATATAAGAGGAAAGTAAATGAAATTATTAATGACATTTGTCCTAGATGTAATTAAAGATATTGAAGATTGGGACCATGTTTGGGTATGCGAAGCCAACGAATTTGAAGTTGAAGAAATCATAAGAAACTCTATTCATGAATTCAAGTAAAATTACAAGAAATTTATATTTTGAAAGAAATTATGTTGAATTTTATTAAAGTGATGGATCAAAAATCACATGTTCTAATAGGAAAGAAAAGGGTTTAAGAACTATTTACAACGATAATTTTAACAAAATTACAAATAAGAAAGAGCATAATTTAGATTTAAAAAATTTATGGAATTTTTGTTACGATAAAGTAAGATCAAAGGTGTGGTTAAAAAGGTGTGAATTTGTTGCTGAATTAGAAAAGGAACGGGGTTTGGAGAAAAGGGATTTAAGAAAAAGAAAAGAAATACCAACGAAAGACAAGGACGATGATACGGAATCAGATAATAAATATAAAAAAGGGAAAAAACAGAGAAAAATTTAAAAAATAAAAAAAATGGAAAAAATGAAAAAAATGATGATAATAAACACATTAATAAAAAACTTAAATTAGTAACGAAAGATCGAATGATAGGTAGAATTACAGAAGGAATATCAATCAAAAAAGATTGGCATGCTATAGTTAAATTAGTTTAGTTTTTAGAATAGATTATATAATTTTTGTATTAGTTATTGTTTAGACTAGATTGAACTTAGTTATAGAGGATATTATATATTTTATAATATTTTCTAGGTGGTTTAAAAAAATGTAATCAAAATTAATTTGTTGCTTAATTAATAAACGCGTTACTATTTTTTTTGTTGAAAAAAAAAATAAGACATCCTTTTTTCGTAATTTCATAGAATTCCTATTAATAAAAAAAGACAAAATATATTAATAAATTCGAATAATGTTTAATTAAGACCGTTCCAATTTAACTATTTGCTTAAACGTTTAAAAAAAAACAAAAAATTGATGATGATGATGTCATAAGTGAAAAGCGGATGACTTATATCGTATAACTACACGAATACCAATGAGATTCTTACTCAATACTACCTATCCTGGTAATTCCGGTATTGTTCGTTAAGAATCGTCAAGGTAAACAACTACGGGTTGTGTCAATCCATTATATATGTTATTGTTACACATTTCGATATGCTCTAATTTTTCGTGTAATTCGGATAAAATCCAGAATTATACTGCGGCACAATCCTATCCTCAATAACTGATAAACTACGGTTGAGACAAATTCAAAAAAAAACAATAAATTTACCCGATAATCTAAAATCTAAATAATAAAATTATAAATCAGTTTAACGAGATTTTTTTTTCTTTTAAGAAGTAATGTTTTATTTTTATAACTTCCATTTATTAATGATTGTTTTAATGCACCATCTTTGGCCATAACCCACCAAAAAGCATCTCTTGGTTCAACGTCAATCATATCATCAGCTTTTAGTGATGAGATTTATTAGAATGTAATAAATCATAAACACGTTTTTCCTTGCTTTCCACCATTTTATTAGGGACACTCTTTTAGGTTTACATTGTCACGGACTCCTTGTGTTACATAGCAGTATAATTATTATTATTCTCCATTAATAAATTTTCATCATCATTGGTTTTATTCTCAGAATTAGTTATTTACATATATAGCGCTAACTACCCACGAAACAAACTTCAGATACTTATTAATTTAACTAAATCAATTAGTTCCTAATTATTTTATTAATATTTATTACCATTGTCTTTTTCACCTAATTTCTTTTTTTTTTTTTTTT